GCGGCTGGATACCCGCCACAAAGCATACCTCCTTTGGCCACTAACTCCCAGAATCTGAAAGGCAGTCTCCAGAAATACACCCGTCACCCAAAAGACACCCAAAGCCTCTCCGAGAACCAGAAGGGGACTGGGACATCCCCAGTTGATCCAGATTCCACAGCAAACTGCACCACCATCAAGGACCTCAACGGAATGGGTTGGACCACGGTACCCTTACCCCTACCTAGGAACTAGAATGCCTGCAAGAACCCCAAAGGTTGAAAACAGGAAAAGGGATAGGGGAGGGATAGGAAGGAATGGGGAGGGGAGGATGGGATAGGGAAAGGAGGATGCGGGGTAATTAGGTTTGGTCTGAGGAGAGGGGAGAGAGACGTATTTTCATCATGAGGAAGCACTAAACCCGTAGGATTATACAGCACCTGTTCAGGGGGAGGGGTGGAAGATATTCAGGCTTAATTCAGGGAACTGGAGCACAGATCCAATTCCCTAGATCAAGAGCCCCTCACCAGCATCAAGGAATCTCCCTTTAGGGGACACACACACACACACACATTTTTTAACAGTAACTGATTTTATTTTAATTTTTGTATTCTTACTCTACCCCTCGCCTATCCACACTCCTGACCCCTGACTTGTTCCTAACCTCAGCATATTCCTCCTTTAGCACATCCCTCCCTGCAACACTGTAAAAGACTTCCAGTCTAGAGCTCAGTCTGATTACTTAATGCTGCCCACATCTGTACATGTAGGGGAGGCAATGTTGCTTATTGTATTCATGGTGAAGCACTAAACTCATATGGGTCATACAGTGCCTAGGGAAATGAGGGGTAGGGGATGGTTTGATTCATGGAAAGGGAAGCTGCTGTATCAAGGTTTTTTCCCTAAGGGAAGGAGAAAACAGTGTTGCAGTTGTGCCCACAAAGCCAATGTTAGCATGGCCCACAAAATGAATAACATGTACATTTATTTTGCAAAAGTAAGTAGGCCTGCACTCTTTGACTTGTGCACCTGCTGCTGTTTAATCCCTGCTTGTAGGGTAGTGCCCATTGGATATACTACTAGCCCTAAGCCTTTGGGTGACCCATCTGAGTTTGTTGCCACTGGCTTCTCCTCCTGTGCACTTGTGTAAGTCTCCATGCATGACAACAGCTACAGTAATATGGGAAGCCAGATCCACTTCTGCCCAAGACATCAACACAGACTAAAACTTGCACAATGCAGAAGAATTTTCTCAAGTATAGCTTTTCTTGTGAATACACTACTATAATCTTTCATTTTTAGTGGTAATTCCATATTGTATGTGATATACATTTGCTGTGGTTCCCAAAACTAAGATTCTCATTACAGCATATAGAAATAAGCCTGACTGAGCTTAGTACAGCTATCGTACTAAGCAAGGTAGATCTGTATGGGAAATTCAAGTATACTTTGTCATCTAAACTTCAAATTTCCCCCCCTCACAAGAAGAGTATTATAGCAGAGCAACAAATGAGAACTGTTGATAAGAACATCACTATGGGAAAATGGTTGCCTATAACAGTGCTTGTTTAGCACTTATGATTATAATCCTCTTTAAGGGGGGCTCCTTGGCGTGGTGAAGAGGCTCTTGGTCTGAGGAATTAGACCTGTTGGTCTTCTTCCTCAGACCGAACCTAATTACCCCCCAATCTCCCCTCCCCTATCCCATCCTCCCCTTTTTCCTTTCCTCCTCCTCCTCCCCACTCCTCCCTTTTGCCCTTTGGGATTTCTCCCACAGGCGCGCTAGTTCCTAGGTAGGGGAAAGGATACCGGGGTCCATCCCATTCTGTTGAGGTTCTTGGCGGTGGCGTAGTTTGCCGTGGAATCTGGATCGCCTGGGGATGTCCCGATCCCTCTCCGGTATCCCGGAGTAGCTTTGGGTGTCTTTCGGGCGACGGGTGTATCTCTGGAAGCCACCTTTCGGATTCCGGGGGTGGTGGCTGAAGGAGGTATGCTTTGTGGTGGATATCCGGCCGCCCTCTCTTTTGTCCACTGAGGTAGCTCGGCAGATGTGAGGTTGCTATCCCGGATTGCTGGTTTACTGGCATGAAGGGTAGGGTATGGCACGGGTTCCATGCTGCATCTGCGCTACTAGTGGTGCTGAGGTCCTCTTGGGCGCAGAGGGAGATTTCCGGCCCTTTCATTCCTCCTGGGAATTATTCCTCCCCGCTCCCCCCTTTTTTTATTCTTTTTTTATTTTTCTTTTCTTTTCTTTTTCTTAAAAACAAAAAGCAAAGGAGTAACCTAACCATGGAGAACCCAATCCATGAACCCACTACCCCCGGGCCCCCTCTTGATACCGCACCCCATTCTGACCCTGCCTTTTTAGACCACTCTTCGAACACTCCTGATGCCCCTGTACCTCTTGCTGGTGCTGTTTCCTCACCCGCTTCAGGTACTGGGGCTTCGACTGACTCCTTCGATTTGTCTAAACTCCGCTCTCCTTTGACTATGCTTCCGGCTTCTCCCTCTAGGGTACGGCAATTTTCGAATCGCCCGCCCATTTCACGCCGGACCAACTCCGGTCCTACTCCTAAATGCCAATGTCAATCTCCTGATGATGCTCCTTCGTTACCTTCCCATTCTACTCGGAAAAGACTGACACGTCATGCACTCCCTCTCCACGCTCAGTTTCAGACCACACAATGAACTAAATTCTTTACTTTAAGACTGACTTCTGCCTACCTTTCTGACCATAGTATGGGCAAAGCGCTCCTGCGTCATGTTGGTAGAGATATTTCATTTCGTGCTCTCAAGAGCGGTATGCGCATCGTCACTGTCCAGAATGCTACCCAAGCTCATGATCTTTCTCTCCTTTCGCATATAGATACTACTCCTATCACTGTTGAAAAACATCTTTCTCTCAATTCTTGTAGTGGTACTGTCATTCTGCCCCATACCATAGTCCAACAGAATTTCCAGTCATGTGGCAATGACATTCTTAAACAGCTGGAATTCCAGGATCTCCCAATCCTCAAAGTAGACACTTATGTCCTTCCTGCCCGTGGGCAGAGACATTACCCTTGCAATGTAGCTCGTTTAACTTTTGACAGCCAAGAACTCACGTCCTCTGTATATGTCGCGGGACATCGGTTACAAGTTCGAAAGGTGATACCTACACCGCAACAGTGTAGAAATTGCTGGCGTTTTGGTCACCCAGCGAAATATTGCAGATCTATTTCGCCTCCAAGGGAGACTACCCCGTGTTTCTTATTCTCGTGTTTCAAAACATCCCCCCACTTCTGGGGTCCCATCTTCTGCAGCCTCCTCTGTTGTTACCCCTCCCATAGCCACTCCGGCATCTAATCCTTTTGCTGTCCTTGGCTCTGATGTCCCGACTACAACTCAGTCTGTTCTCACATCTTCGCGTCCTTCCTCACAAGCCCCAGTATCGACAAGACTTCATAGGGCACCTAATACCAATCGCCCCTCTACTTCTCAGAAGTCCAAAAAATCCACATTGCTCAAATCTTCTTTGCCCCTTCCTTCCCTTCTTCCACCTCCACACTTTACCTTTCCAGTCTCTGCCTAGTTCTTCCCTCTCTCTGGCTCTATTACAAGTGTGGAGATTCACCCTCCTCCTCGTACTATGCCTTCCACCCCCGTCCCCTCCCAAGTTTCTCCCTCTTCTGCCACCTCCCAGGTTTCTGCCTCTTCTGTCCCCCCCCCACACTTCATCTCCAGTCCCTTACACTCTTTCCTCCCCCTCTACTTTGGTACAGTCCATTACTGTCCCAATCTTTACTCACCCTCCCCCTTCTATCTCCAATATGGTCTCCCATACATCTTTGAATTCAGAAACACTTGAAGCCATTTCAGAATATATTGCAGAGACTAAACCTTCAATGGACACTGATTCACTTCCTGTTCCTTCTCTTTCCTTTCCTCCATCTTCACAACCCCATTCTTCGCAACGCTCCGTTCCTTCGCTGCTTGAACGTCTTCCAATGCCACCACACGTTGACTTTTCTAACTCCTCTAGTCCATAGGTGCCTTTCCCTACGGATTCCTGGTATTTTCTTCATCGCCAATCATGGCCTATTTACAGTGGAATATCCGCGGCCTCAGGGGTAATCGGGGTGAGCTTCAGATGTTGCTTTCCAGGTTTTCCCCTGTTGGTGCTTGCTTACAAGAACCAAAATTACACTCGGCTGTTTTCTAACCTATCTCAGGCTATAATTTATTGTATTCTTCAGATCCTTTCTCAGATGGGACCTTTAATGAAAGTGCCCTTCTTCTACTCAATGATATTCTGTACTGTCAACTATTTGTCCATACCTCGCTGCATTACACTGCAGCCCGTATCCACTTGAATAAGTGGTTTACAGTATGTTCTTTATATCTCTCTCCTTCTCGAGCATTTTCTATCCCAGACTTTACCTTTCTTGTTTCATCCTTACCACCACCACTTCTGTTACTTGGTGATTTTAACGCCCACCATTTCCTCTGGGGGGGGGGGGTCTCATTGTGACTCGTGTGGCATCCAGTTGGAGGCTTTTCTCGCCTCTCACCCCCTCCATGTTTTAAATACGGGTACTCCCACCCATTTTGATCCTCGTACTCATACTCTCTCTTGCATCGATCTATCAGTCTGCTCTTCCTCCACTGCACTAGACTTCACCTGGTCTGTTCTACCGGACTTACACGACAGCGATCATTTTCCAATCATTCTTACTTCTCCTTCCTATTCACCACCTTTCCGTAGCCCTCGCTGGCAATTTGATCGGGCAAATTGGGATCTTTACTCGCAACTCGCTGCTTTTAGTGAGGTTCCTTCTTCATCCTCCATTGATGAGCTCCTACACCTCTTCTCGACGTCAGTTTATACCGCAGCTTCTCATTCTATACCCCAAACCTCAGGCAGGCATTCTCAGAAGTGCGTGCCTTGGTGGTCTCCTGCTTGTGCTCGTGCAGTACGTTTGAAACGTGCTGCATGGGGCAGGTACCGGTACAATAGAACCGCTGAGAGACTTCTTGATTTTAAGCAGAAGCGTGCGATCGCTCGCCGTGTCATCCGTTAAGCTAAATGCACTTGCTGGCGAGACTGTTTCCACCATCACCTCTGCTTCTTCTATGAGTGCAGTCTGGAAAAAAGTGAGGAAATTGAGTGGTAAATACTCTCCTGACCCGGCTCCTGTTCTACGGGTCGCTGGTGTTGATGTAGCAAACCCTCTCGACGTTGCCATTGAACTTGGCACACATCTGGTCCGTATTTCCCGGGGGCTCCATCTATGCCCCTCGTTTCTTTCCTCAAAGTCTGCCAGAGAGTTAGTACCCTTGGACTTTTCTTCTCTCAGAGAAGAACAGTATAATGTGCCTTTTACACTTCAAGAACTGGAGGCAACGCTCTCAGCTTGCCGATCATCGGCAGCTGGGCCTGACGACATTCATATTCGTATGTTACAACATTTACATCGGTCAGCCCTTGTAGTCCTCTTACACCTCTTCAATCTTATTTGGGCACAAGGAGTTCTTCCCCAGCTGTGGAAATCTGCCATTGTTCTCCCTTTCCGCAAACCAGGTACTACAGGACATGATGCCTCCCACTATCGTCCCATCGCTCTTACTAGTGCAGTTTGCAAAGTGATGGAACGTCTCGTAAATCAACGTTTAATGTGGTATTTAGAGACACACAACAGTCTCTCCGCTAGTCAATATGGCTTTCGTAAGGGCCGTTCTACCATAGACCCCTTACTACGCTTGGATACGTATGTTCGTAATGCCTTTGCGAATAATCACTCGGTTATTGCCATATTTTTTGACCTTGAGAAGGCATATGACACAACTTGGAGGTATAATATTTTGGCCCAGGCCCACTCCTTAGGCCTCTGAGGCAATCTACCATCCTTCCTTAAGAACTTTTTAACTGACAGATATTTCCGTGTTCGAGTCAATAATGTTCTTTCCCCAGACTTCGTCCAAGCTGAAGGTGTCCCTCAGGGATGTGTTCTAAGCACAACACTTTTTCTCCTTGCTATAAATGATTTGGCCTCTGTTCTTCCACCCAATATTTGGTCATCACTCTATGTTGATGACTTCGCTATTGCTTGTGCAGGCGCTGACTGCCATCTCATTGCAGTTTCTCTCCAGCATGCGGTCGACCGTGTTTCCACTTGGGCCACCACGCATGGGTTTAAATTTTCCAGTACCAAAACTCACCAAATTATTTTCACTAGACGCTCTGTCATCTCCGATCATCCTTCGTATCTCTATGGCTCCCGTATCCCAGAACGTGATACAGTCGGGTTTCTAGGCCTTCTCTTTGACCGTAGGTTATCCTGGAAACCTCTCATTACCTCTCTGAAGGCAACTTGTCACAGCTGGCTAAACCTTCTTAAAACCCTTGCTCATCTTTCCTGGGGAGCTGATCGTCGAACTCTGCTTCGCCTATATTCAGCCCTCGTTTTATCGAAACTCGATTATGGTGACCAGATTTATTCAGCGGCCTCTCCTGCTACTCTCTCTAGCCTTAACCCCATCCATCACCAAGGATTACGTTTGTGCCTTGGTGCTTTTCGCTCTTCCCCTGTTGAGAGCCTCTATGCAGAAGCGAATGCTCCATCCTTGTCTGATCACCGTGATGCCCATTGCCTTCGCTACTATGTACGCTCTCCCGATCTCCACAATCCTTCCATTTATAGAATGGTCACCGATATTAGTAGACATTCTTTATTCGTTCGCCGCCCGTTTGCTCCGTCCCTTTTCTCTTCGCCTACATTCACTCTTGTCTTCCCTTCAGTTACCACCTTTATATGTTCATGTAGCATCTCACTTTTCCCTACCCCCCCCCCTGGGAAGTTCCAGCTGTTGGGGTCTGTTCTTTCTCACTCCCGTGCTCAAAAGCTCAACTGCCTATGGTGCCTTCCCGCTCTCTTTTTCTTGATCATTTCCACTCCCATTCTCATGCCATCGCTGTGTACACAGATGGCTCAAAGTCTTCAGACGGCGCCGGATTCGCAGCAGTGTTTCCGGACAGCGTCGTGCAGGGGCATTTACTATCTTCGGCTAGCATTTTTACTGCTGAATTGTATGCCATTCTTGCAGCACTTATTCGTATCGCATCTATGCCTGTGTCATCATTTGTGGTAGTCTCAGACTCCCTTAGTGCTCTACAGGCTATACGAAAATTTGATACATCTCACCCCCTAGTTCTCCGTATCCAACTTTGGCTACGCCATATCTCTACCAAGCATGAAGATATTATTTTTTGTTGGGTCCCTGGTCATGTCGACGTACAGGGCAATGAACAGGCAGACACTGCTGCGCGGTCAGCAGTACATGACCTACCAATTTCCTATAGAGGTGTTCCATTTCTGGACTATTTTGCTGCAATAGCTACCCACCTTCACACCTGTTGGCAACAACGTTGGTCAACTCTGCTTGGTAACAAACTTCATTCTATTAAACCGAGCATAGGTTACTGGCCGTCTTCTTGTCATCAGTGCCGTGGTTGAGAGACCACTCTCTCCCGCCTTCGCATTGGCCACACTCGTCTTACTCACGGGTATCTCATGGAGAGGCACCCTGTTCCTCTCTGTGAGCAGTGTCAAGTTCCAGTATCGATTGGCCACATTCTGTTAGACTGCCCTCTCTATCAACGAGCACGCAGAATTTACCTCCGTTGTCTTCGTTCTACTACTCTCTCTTTACCTTCCCTTCTTGCTGATGGACCCTCCTTTAATCCTGACTCTCTCATTGACTTCTTGACAACGACTGATTTACTCCACAAACTCTGATGATACCTTACGCACTCCCCTCAGCCCTTTCTAGCTCAGTCTCTTGCTGCCCTTTACCCTTTCACCATCCACTGCCCCGCTGTTATCCGTAACCTATTACTCGTCCATCTTCCTTTTGCCACCTGATGCCCTCGCTTCCTTCCTGCCCTGCAGCGCTGTATAGTCCTTGTGGCTTAGCGCTTCTTTTTGATTATAATAATAATAATGTGATTATAATAGAAATACATCAATGCTCGCTATATCACAGTCCAATTATCATTCTGGACTAAATTATCAGGATAAAAAAAAAATATTCACTATAATATTTTAATACAGATTGTATACTTTTACATGAAACAGGTGAAAAAAATAAGAAATTAAATATCCTACAATAACTATATCATCATGATTAATCGAAAAAACAAAATATCTACACCTAGGAATGATGCCATGAAAGTGTGTCATTGCACTAAAAGCAACAATGACTTGCAACTAAATTATGTGCAAGAGAATACAGGAATGGAAGTGTGAGCCAACAAACTGGTGGCAGATATAGTACAGAAAATACAATTTTTTTTCATTCTATACAATAAAATGAATACATAATGCCTTGTATACCTCTTAGCATTTTTGTATACAGCATATTTATAATTAAAGGGACTTTAAAATGAAATAAACACAAGTACTGCATTTTCAATTTTTGTGAATGAAATGTAAGGGATAGGCAAGATTACTTTGGCAGTTATTTTCACTTGCCCCCTCTCTTATTGCTCTCACACTTCTCTTAAGTCTTATCAATGCTCAATGTATATTGATAAAAGCACATTTACATAGTATGGGATGAAGAATGAAATTCTCAATACCATGGCAGGAGCAATTCACAACCAACCCAATCTATCCTGATCCTTCAAGGGAGGCTCCTCCTGGTGAGAGGCACTCAATCCAAAGAATCAGACTTCCTCGTATCGAACTTGTCTCCCATTCCTCAGGCACTTTTTTCAAAATATAATATTAGATTGATTCAATAGTGGTCCAGGATGGACCAAAATGTCATCCACTTTCATCTTTAATTTTTGCTTTGTGAATATTATACACAATTACACATGCAAAAAAGTATTAAAGAATTTTGAGTATAAAATTGAAACTGGCTAGGTATATTTCACTATGTGAACCTTCTGCAAATTATTTTTTGAGTCATTCAACACCAGTCATTTAACTTTATTTCGCTTTCATTTAGTCTACATAAAATACTTTATTATGCTTTGTTCATTAAATGTTTAAAATTTTTAGAAGCCATGATGCTATTATGAAATCAATACTATGGGCCTATGACAATTCCAGATTTTTAAAGAACATGTGTATTATTCACTTCACACTCACATTATTATTATAATCAAAACCTAACACTAAACCTACTGGGGGTCATACAACACAAGAAAGCCCTGAACCCTGATAATGTAGCCACCATATGAAATTTCCATTGTATCCCAGTTCATATATATATCAGTACTGTAATTTTTAAATACTGTTTTTATCATGGGATTTCCACACATTTTCATTATGTATTATAACATGGAGGAGTACTTAACTCATATGGGTCATACAGCACCTGGGATGAAAGAATTAGACTTGATCTTAAAAGTGCAGGTCCAGTTTCTTGAATAAAAATCCCTTCACTGATATCAAGGAACTACCCCTAAGGGGTCTTTACCAGGGAATAAAGAAGTCATCTGGACATATACTGACTGATTTGGGATTAGTGCCTATATGAAAAAAAAAATAGGCACTATAAAACCCCCATGGGTTTAACACTTTCCTGTGAATGTAATAATCCAGGTACAGGGAAATACAGTGGAACCCAGAGTTTTGGCCGCCCTGAGTATTGGCTGCTTTGAGTTTCAACCTCTTTTTTCGGCTAAATTTTGTCCCGAGTTTCGGCCTGTGCCCCGTGTTTTGGCTGGTGTACCAGGCCTGTCCGCTTGCCCGTGCAGGCATCGTGAGCCAGTCTAGCTTTGTTTATCCTCGAGTGAACATTACCTGTGTGCTCATCCAAACATTTCACAATAAATTCATTCTTTAGTACTTGTTTATTGATTGTGACTGTGAAATAAGCCACCATGGGCCCAAAGAAACTTCATAGTGGCAGCCCTTTGGTACTTTGCTACAATTTCTTTCAATTCTATCATGTTTCGCACTTTCTTTACCAGAGTGGAGGAGGAAGAGAGAGGGGAGAATGTGCCTTCTTCAGTGATTCTACGATATGTATGATACTAAAGCAGCACGAGTTGATAAAGGCTATAGCGCCAGCCAGCGACAAAGTGTAGCATTAACAGTGTAGCAAGTAAGTTAAGCAATTAATTGATAGAAAAAGGACAGCATGAACCTGACTCCTCCAATGTTGTTGGAGCTATATAGGGTGACTGACAACACTTCCGTCTCTGCTGAACCATCACCACCACTATGTAAGGCTTATCTTGCAGTGGCCCTTATACACCCAACAACAAACACAGCAACACTCGTCGGTTAGGGGGAGAGACACATGACATACTTTATTCATTCTAGAGTATATATCATGTTTATCTGTTATTAATATTGTTGATTATGTCATACTAGATGAATTGTGCTAGATAAATAAGCCATAGAGTTGATATTTGTGTCATATTGAAGGACTATCTTGTCCTGCCTCCAAGCACTCCTGCCTCTCATACACCAAGTCTTCAATAAAGGTAAAACTGATAAAAAAAAAAATAACTACATCTGGTTGCCAATTATCTTCATAACCATTTACCCAGTTCCTCCAAATAAAAAGTTTTGTAAAGGACAACAGAATAAAAGAAATGCACTTCATCATCTAAACAGCATTGCTTCAACTCTGGAAGTAGGTGAATTTGATTGACAGCATTATTCATAATGAAAAGGTATGTTGCCAATTATATATAGTCAATTTACTGAAAACTGCACATTTGGGTTAATAATCACACAATTTCCCATGCTAAAAAGCATGTACTATATAGTATGAAACATTTAAGAGGCTACTGCTATCAACAGTTCCCTGCATATTAAATATACTTTATAATATGCATCACATGAACCTTGGTTCTCAATTAGTGTGCCAAATCTAGAGTACAGTGATGGTGTTCCAAGACTGGCTCGTAAAGTATGTACATGAAGACCTATATCACTGGAAATGTATTACACAATGAAAATGTGTTTCTAACTTGCATAACTAGTTTAAACATTACTTCATGCAGACTTGTCATTCATTGATATAACCAAGTTTGGACAACACTCCCTGGAGACATTTAATAATCACATGTTGAAAAAATTTGAAAAAACTTAATAAGAATAGATATAATTTAAAAGAAAAAAAATTAATATATATACCTGATTCATGTGCATAGTTTACATTAAATATTCAAAGGATTATTGACATACTGAAAAGAATCTCAAGCATTAACTTTAATGAAGATTTCTTTTATTAGATTTTAGTACTGTTTATAATCTGAAATATACAATCGAGCTATAGTCAATGTATATAAAAATGATTTAAATCGGAGAATCTTATCAAAACAAACTGAATCTTTTATTTAACAGAGATAATGCTGAATGACCCCTAATGGTTTAGTGCTTCATTCTGAATGTAATAATACCGACCAGCAAGTTTCTGCAAACACTAAAATCTAGAAATAGCTTTTCAGGGAAGAGAAACTTATGAAAATTAATGTTTTTGAATGACATTTGCACAAAAGACATACACCCATCCCCCTACCCTTTTGGATATGGATAAACTTGACAAGGGATGGCCATCATGAAAAGCAACTCTATTCAAGCTTTTTATAACAATAACCCATGAACACTCACATTTACACACACAGCCTTTATATCTTCATAAACAAACTTTAACTAATAGGTAATATTTCACCTTGATACATCTAAGCATGAGTAAATTAAGTGCCATATCAATTCTCACAATTGTCAGTTGGGACACTTTAAAGATGCAATGAGATCTAATGCATGACATTAACATGCTAAGCATTATAAGAAGTTTGCTGAGTCTTGGCACCTTTCTGAGCCTAAACATCTCAGGAAACTAAAACAGTTTGCCAGGTACACTAATCAGAAATGTTGACATTTCTCACCTGCTCTGAATACAAGCCTAGAGGACGGAACTTCTACCACAAATAGTTACTTGGACAGATTTTGCTTCTGATTTAATATGTTTTATATAGAGATCCATAATATCCAAAATTAAAAAAATAAAGTAAAACTTAAGATATAATAGTTTTCTAATATTATTATTTTGGGAAATGAAGAGTACCACCACATCTTTGGTCACGGTGCATAATAGTATTATAACTTAGTATATTATTGCCAATTCAAAACTTTGACTTGTACACTTAAGTAACATCATGATAATTGAAAACCTTCTTCTGTAACCTTCCATTATTCATAGTTTTATATCCATAAATGCATCAGCAGACTGTGAAACATGTATATCCTCACTTATCTTCTGCAAGCTAGACTAGCTTGGAGATGATAAACGAGGCTATACATGCAGACATGATGCATGCTTAGCCACAGATATATTATTATTATTGTATATTAAGAAACAAGTACTGCTACTATAATGGATCAGTAAGATACATTTGTCATGTGTCAACATGCCACCCTGTGTTATAGTAATTTATTTATTTCTGTGTACTACAGTAATGCAAAAGTACAAAATCTTACTAGATGTGCTTTTTGCCATCTTTACTGTCATTGCAGTCTTACTTTCAACTGTGGCAGAAAAACAGAGAGGAAACAATAGGGAAAGGAGTAGGAAGCTAAGAAGTCATGCAACACACACTTAACATTCAAAAGATGAATAAGTGAAATACACTGCGTAATTTGGGTGAGCAAGTACTACACTATTATCCCCCCCTCTTCCCTCCCTCCCTCTCTCATTTTCATTTAGTTTTTTAAATGCCTGTATATTAAGATTTCAAAATAAAAAATAATTGGCTTGATACACTTAAATTAAGTAAGCCTTTATAACAAGATAAATATAAATTAATTTGGGAGAACAAGTAACCTTCCTTCCTCAACTTTAACATTTACTTTTCTTAAGTATAAATACATGCTTTGAAGTGATAATTTACATTTCTGTTAATGACCCATTTTGTACTACAACAGATCCATAATAGTGCAAGGTTAGATTACTACTGTAATGTACTACAATGGATACAGGGGTTACATAGGTCTGAAACACTTTTTTTTTTTCCTTATTCTCATTTTAATATAAATTAGGTAACTACAAGCTTCCCGAGGAATGTATCCCTCATGAATATTGGGAGATTACAGTACAGTATATGGTACTGAATTTTCATGTCATTCAATATTTACATAGTTTTAATACATTTATCATGCTTATATCCTCAGGCTGTATAAGCTAAACAAATAAACATTATGACTAGTGTAACTAATCACTAAGAACACAAATCTCAATGCATGATCACCATGAGCTGCTCACCAAGTGACCAAGAATTATTCTACAATTTATTTATCATAATATTTGGAGTCTGAACATCTCACATTTGTTTTGGCAATACCACTAGAAGATGTAATGGTAAAATGGGTGTTTATATACAATGCCAGTGAGGTTTGGATGTGCATGATTATGACAGAAGTGAATCTGAATCTTTATAAATTTATATTTGTAAAAGACTTAAATTAATAAGAGTCTGTCACCATAAGGAATTTTCCCAAACCAAATTTAACTAACATTATATTCATATCCTAATATCACTGAATCCTTAAATCCAGTTTAAGGAAGGAAAATTTAAAGATTTCTACGAATACTTTCTAATGGTTATCATAAACAATACTGTATAATAATTCACCTGGTAACATTAAGGTGCATTACTTGTATTGCTATACTTCATGAGAAGAGGGTTCCTTGCACTGACAAACTCAAGTCCTTTTCAAGTTCCCTGATAAACAAAAGGTTTATGCATTGTGTACATGTAAAATGTTACAGACACAACTTGTCAATATTGAGAATTGCTACAGTTATGTTATCCTGTGACCCACGATAATAAGCATGAAGTGTTAGGGACTTGGCTCCATAATCAGGTTCATGAATATGATCACGGATGTATGCTACTGCTTCCTCATTTGTTAACACATCCCAGAGTCCATCTGTGGCTAAGATAACAAAATGTGCCTGGAGAGAAAAATAGTTAAAATAATAAGTACAGTGCCTGCACTCTGAAGGAGGGGTGTTAATGTTGCAGTTTAAAAACTGTAGTGTAAAGCACCCTTCTGGCAAGACAGTGATGGAGTGAATGATGGTGAAAGTTTTTCTTTTTCGGGCCACCCTGCCTTGGTGGGAATCGGCCAGTGTGATAATAAAAAAAAATAATAAATAAATAATATAATATTATATAATATGTTCAACAATACTACACGTATACAGCATTGTATTGTCCAGGAATCCTTTACTATATCTGGGTTCTTCACTTTTAAGCAATGCCTTATTTCTACTAGTAATTCACCATGTGCAATATAATTTCTCTCCTACACTATTAGTGCAATATGTAACGAAGGCCTATGTCTAATCTTAAATAGTCTGTAATAATTAGCATTAGTCTGCATGCTAGTGGCTTTCTTTGTGCTTAACAATATTTTATTACATGTAAACTACACTTCGTATACTACACAAAGAAATCAAGTTGTTTGTTTATATATAAAGAATTGCCATAAGTACTGATAACCTGATTGAGTTCATTGTTGCTACCATGGACCTGGAATGCATTTACTGCTTTATGCAGTAAATGCCATTCTTCTTATTTATAACTGCCACTTTGGTATCTCTTTATATTTATTTTCCTTGAGGGAGGTTACTTGATGCCAGCAAGGGGCTCTTGATCCAAAAAAAAATGGATCTGCCCTCCCTCTCCTGGGATTGAACCCGAATGCTTCCCATTTTCTCAAGTGCTATATGAGCCCTATGGGTTTAGTACTTCCCCTTCAATATACGTACATAATATTCATCTTCAATAAATTATCTAAGTTATTTATTAATAAAAATTTAAAGTTTTCTTAAAAAAATAGCAATATTTAACACACAAAACTACACTGTATTTCTAAGAATAGTACTGTGTATAAAGGTATCAAAACTAGGAAATAAATGTAGACAGGTGAGATACTAAAAAACAAGTAAAAAACGTGTAACTGCTGACTTCTACAGCCACAAGGAGAATCAACATAAACTTTGTCTTGTCACAAAAACTAATGAGAAAATTCCTGATGTAATTATATAAGAAGAAAACCATGACAGAATACTTAGCCACTTTATGGCTCCTGCTGATGAACTTATAAAAACGTAATGAAATAAATTAACCAGTAAACTGTCAGTGACGTAGATTTATGTCAGTGGGATCAGCGTTGGTGCCACAGACCTGCGCATAATTCAAAGCACCTTAAAATTGGCTAAGCAGAAAATTTTGACTTAAGACATCACTCAATGGAGGATTCTTAATGCCTATGAAGGGCTCTTGATCCAAGGAAATGAGTCTGCCACCCTCTTCCTCAGACTGAACCTGAATGTCTCCTATTCCTTCCCCAGGAGCTATATGACCCCTATGGGTTTAGTACTCCCCATGAATATAACTGACCTAGACATGAGAGACGGACTATGCAATGGGTGTACACTATATTAAAAAAAGTCCTGCTCTACATGGTACATAATGAGAATGTCTAACGTTTGACCCTGTATTAGGGTTAACCTTTTTAACTAGTCTGCTATAATAGTACATATAATTTTTTGTGCCTTCAGATGTGCCACCTGTCAGCAATTTTGACCTCAGTGTCTTGGCCTAGTATCTCCACACCACCTCCAGATTTCCACACTATGAATTCTCTGCATAATATTTATGCCACACATTGCCCTTAGACAGGACATCTCCAATGTCTCCAGCCACCTCCTCCCTGCAGCATTTACATCCCAAGCTTCACACCCATATAAGATTGTTGGTACCACTATACTTTATCCATAGAGGCAAAGAAGGGAATGTACTAATGTTTTTTGTCTCCACAGATACCTCAATGCCCCACTCACCTTTTTTCCTTGATCAATTCTATGGTGACCCTCATCCTTCATAAACCCATCTGCTGACAAGTCAACTCCCAAGTATCTCAAAACCTTCACTTCTTCCATACTTCTTCTCTTCAATGTGATATCCAATTTTTATCTAAATTGTTTGATATCCTCATCACCTTACTCTTACCTATATTCACTTTCAACTTTCTACCTTTACACACCCTCCCAAAATCATATACAGTGGACCCCCGCTTTACGATCAGCTCCCAATGCGACCAATTATGTAAGTGTAAGTGTATTTATGTAAGTGCGTTTGTACGTCTATGTTTGGGGGTCTGAAATGGACTAATCTAATTCACAATATTCCTTATGGGAACAAATTCGTTCAGTACTGGCACCTGAACATACTTCTGGAATGAAATATCGTAAACCGGGGGTCCACTGTACTACTAGCCTTCGTAACTTTTCTTTAGAATCTCTCAAAAGCACAGTATTGCCAGCAAAAAGTAACTGTGTCAACTCCCATTTTGTATCTGATTCTCCATAATTTAATCCCACCCCTCTCCCCAACACCCTTGCATTTACTCTTCTACAACCCCATCTATAAGTACTGTATATTAAACAACCACGGCAACATTACACATCCCTGTCTAAGACCTACTTTTCCTGGGAAGTAGTCTCCCTCTCTTCTACACACCCTAACCTGAGCCTCACTATCCTCATAAAACCTCTTCACAGCATTTAGTAACTTACTACCTATTCCATATACTGTACTTGCAACATCTGCCACACTGCTTCCCTATCTACTCTATCATATACCTTTTCTAAATCCATAAATGCAATGAAAACTTCCCTACCTTTATCTAAATACTGTTCACATATATGCTTCAATGTAAACATGATCTACACATCCCCTACCCACTCTAAAGCCTCCTTGCTCATCTGCAATCCTGCTCTCTGACTTACCTCTAATTCTTTCAATAATAACCCTACCATACACTTTACCTGGTATACTGGTAAATTACTTCTTCTATAATTTTTACAATCTCTTTTGTCCCCCTTCCTTTTATATAAAGGAATTATACACTCTCTGCCAATCCCTAGGTAACCTCCCCTCTTTCATACATTTATTAAACAAAAATATCAACCACTCCAACACTATCTCCCCCTGCTTTTAACATTTCTGTCACAATTCCATCCGTTCCAGCTGCTTTACCCCCTTTCATCCTGCATAATGCCTCACACATTTCACCCACACTCACATCCTGCTCTTCTTCACTCCTAAAGGATGTTATACCTCCCTGACCAGTGCATGAAATTACTGCCTCCCTTTCTTCATTGACATCTGAAAGTTCCTCAAAATATTCCCGCCATCTACCCAATACCTTCAGCTCCCCATCAACTAACTCCTCCTACTCTGTTTTTAACTGACAAATCCATTTGTTCCCTAGTCTTTCTTAACTTGTTTATCTCACTCCAAATTTTTTTCTTATTCTCAGCAAAATTTCTTGACAGTGCCTCTCTCTCACTATCATTTGCTCTCCTTTTGCACTCTCTCACACCACTCTCTTCACCTTTCTTTTACTCTCCATAAACTGTCCTTCTTATATCACTTCTGCTTAATTATGATAACTATGCTTATGTGCACCTGTACCTAAGTAAACATACATACTGTGCTAGCGTGCAGGTACACATTAAAATCAACAAGTGTCTTATGTCTCGAGGATGCCATATTAATAATGATGATAATAATACTCAATAATAATCACTCTGTAGGTAGTAAGTTGGTAGACAGCAACCATCCAGGGGGATACTACCATTCTGCCAAGCGAGTGTAAAATGAAAGCCTGAAATTGTTTTACATGATGGTAGGATTGCTGGTGTCTTTTGTCTGTCTCATAAATATACAAGATTACAGGTATGTCTTCCTACTTCTTCTTACACTTAGGTCACACTACACATACATGTACAAGCATATATATACACACCCCTCTGGGTTTTCTTCTATTTTCTTTCTAGTTCTTGTTCTTGTTTATTTCCTCTTATCTCCATGGGGAAGTGGAACAGAATTCTTCCTCCGTAAGCAAGGGGCTAGTAACCCCTTCTCCTGTATATACTATTACTAAATGTAAAAGGAGAAGCTTTTGTTTTTCCTTTAGGGCCACCCCGCCTCGGTGGGATATGGCCGGTGTGTTGAAAGAAGAATAATCACTCTAAGGCACATTATATGTTGTATATTACATTAATACAGTGGACCAACGATGGCATCGTAGAACGTTAAATCCGACTAGCGATACATCTTAACGCAAAAATTTTGCCTCAACTAGTGCTAAAAAACTCGACCAACACGATTCGTTCCGCTCGAGATGCGTCCACGTGTGGCCTGCGCAGTGTTTACAAGCCAGCCACCGCGGTCGCATCCAAACATACAATCGGAACATTTCATATTATCACAGCGTCACCATGGGCCCCAAGAAAGCTTCTAGTGCCATCCCTGTGATAAAAAGGGTGAGAATTAGTATGGAAATTAAGAAAGTTTGAAGGGTTTGGAGCTAACCCTGAGATGCCTATGCCAGTTGTGGAATCCATGGTGCCTACTTCAAAAATTAAGGAAATGTGTGCAAAGTGGGTTGAACTGCAAACCTTTATGGATGAAAATCACCCTAACACAGCTATTGCAAGCCGTGCTGGTGACTATTACAATGACAACGTTGTGGCCCATTTTAGACAAATCGTAAAATAACGGGAGGTACAGAGCTCTATGGACAGATATGTTGTGCGACAGAGGTCCAATGACTCTCAAGCTGGTCCTAGTGGCATTAAAAGAAGAAGTGAAGTAACCCTGGAAAAGGACTTAACACCTCAAGTCCTAATGGAAGGGGATTCCCCTTCTAAACACTAACACCATCCACACACTCCCCTCCTCCCATCCCATCAATCACCACCAGATCTTCAATAAAGGTAAGTGCCATGCAATTTTACATGTCTTCTTCAGTTTGTGTGTATTAAAATTAACATTTCATGTGGTAAATTTTTTTTTTTTCAATACTTTGGGGTGTCAGGAACGGATTAATTTGATTTCCATTATTTTTTATGGGGAAAATTAACTCGAATAACAATAATTTTGACTAACGATGAGCTCTCAGGAACGGATTAATGTCGTTGGTCGAGGGTCCACTGTATACACATTTTCATTAATCCACCTATGATATTTTTTCAAAATTATATAAACACACTATGTAATTTTTTTTTTTTAACCCTTTCAGGGTCCATCCCGTAGATCTATGGCTTTACGTTCAGGGTCCAAACCGTAGGTCTACGGCATGAGCTCAGCTCACTCTGATAAACTGTAAGTGGTACATTTGGGCCTAGATATGAGAGAATACATCTATGAGGTATGTGTGCATCACATAAAACAGATCCTGCAGCACACTGTGTATAATGAGAGAAAAAAACTGAAATCATGATTTTTCGATTAAAACAGCGACTTTGCAGTGTTTTTTCGTATGTTTTTTATAGTTGTATTTGCGATTTCTTGGTCTCATTTGATAGAATGGAAGACATATTACAGAAATAGAGATGATTTTGATTGGGTTTAGCACTGGAAATGGCTTGAAACTGAGCTCAAAGTAGCAGAAATGTTAAATTTTTGCCGATATTCAAGAGTAAACAAACGACCTCACACGTCTAATACACACCAACTGGTGGGTCTAATATGCATTCACAAATATGTGATATATTTATACAATTATTACAGTATTGCATAACAGTAAATCTTCTATTTTTTGGTGTGAATAAAAATTCATTATGTGAATAAAAAATCGAAATGGAATTTATTTGTAAAGCCTCAAAACGTAACTAATGAACAGAGGAAATGTTAGTTTAGTTCCAGGAATGCCTACATTGTTTATTCTGGACCCTATTTTGAAATTGGAATATTTTGAACTTTGTGTTAAATTGGCCAAATTAACAATTTCCTATCACTTTAATTTGTAGTTGAAACAGTTGACTTGGCGATTTCTTGTGCTCAATCGATAGAATAGAAGTAATACTAGTGAAATAGCTAAGAATTTGGTTGACTGGAATAATGTAATTGGCCTAAAATGGGAGTCATAGCTGGCAAAATCGCCGATTCGTAAATATCGCTGACACATCAAAATTCGCGAGAGCATAATTTCGTCAATTTTCCATCAAATTTCATACTTTTTTTTTTTCACAGTTGCTCTTTGCTGATGACACTGTGCTCTTGGGAAATTCTTAAGAGAAGTTGCAAAGGTTGGTAGATGAATTTGGTAGGGTATGTAAAAAAAAAAAATTAAAAGTGAATACAGGAAAAAGTAAGGTTATGAGGATAACAAAAAGATTAGGTGATGAAAGATTGAATATCAGATTGGAGGGAGAGAGTATGGAGGAGGTGAATGTATTCAGATATTTGGGAGTGGACGTGTCAGCGGATGGGTCTATGAAAGATGAGGTGAATCATAGAATTGATGAGGGGAAAAGGGTGAGCGGTGCACTTAGGAGTCTGTGGAGACAAAGAACTTTGTCCTTGGAGGCAAAGAGGGGAATGTACGAGAGTATAGTTTTACCAACACTCTTATATGGGTGTGAAGCATGGGTATGAATGTTGCAGCGAGGAGAAGGCTGGAGGCAGTGGAGATGTCATGTCTGAGGGCAATGTGTGGTGTGAAATATAATGCAGAGAATTCGTAGTTTGGAAGTTAGGAGGAGGTGCGGGATTGCCAAAACTGTTGTCCAGAGGGCTGAGGAAGGGTTGTTGAGGTGGTTCGGACATGTAGAGAGAATGGAGCGAAACAGAATGACTTCAAGAGTGTATCAGTCTGTAGTGGAAGGAAGGCGGGGTAGGGGTCGGCCTAGGAAAGGTTGGAGGGAGGGGGTAAAGGAGGTTTTGTGTGTGAGGGGCTTGGACTTCCAGCAGGCATGTGTGAGCATGTTTGATAGGAGTGAATTGAGACAAATGGTTTTTAATACTTGACGTGCTGTTGGAGTGTGAGCAAAGTAACATTTATGAAGGGATTCAAGGAAACTGGCAGGCTGGACTTGAGTCCTGGAGATGGGAAGTATAGTGCCTGCACTCTGAAGGAGGGGTGCTAATGTTGCAGTTTAAAAACTGTAGTGTAAAGCATCCTTCTGGCAAGACAGTGATGGAGTGAATGATGGTGAAAGTTTTCTTTTTCAGGCCACCCTGCCTTGGTGGGAATCGGCCAGTGTGCTAATAAAAATATAAAAAAATATGAGATGCTTTTCCAACTGTCTTGTCAGAGTGTTGGAAAGAATAACGTTTTCTATAGTTCAACACCAATGAAAATGTGTATACAATAATATTACTGAGAGTAACTGTAGAAAATTATTCCTTTTGTATGCCTTCACTTTGAGCATCATTTCTTCTAAAAATGGTGTTACATGAGAATGGGAGTATGTATTGCTCTTTATTTATTCTATACCAATGTGGAGACAACTTGTACACAATGTAAAGTGTTTGTATTATGGTATAATGCAAACATGTATGAACCAAAACCAGATGTGTTCGTCTGTTTGTTTACACACTCCGCATCTCTGTCCTTTCATTTACTCATTCTCTCTCTCTCTCTCTCTCTCTCGTTTATTTGTTTTATCTTGTTTACTCACGTCTTGCTCTACATTAAGACTACAAATATTTTAAGGTAAGTAATGAGTGAACTGTATATGCATTTTATTGCTCCGGGATGTTCTAAATGTCGTAGTATAATACGTGTGGGTGGAGTGGCCTGGCCTGGCTACCATACCTACCACATCTGGCATCTTACAATAAATACTACTCATCTCAACCTACATTAAGACTACAAATATTTTAAGATAAGTAATGAGTGTACTATATGTGTATTTTACTTTTTTATTGTTTTTAATGCCTGGTTCTATTGCTAACTTAATAAATGTTAGTGTAAACTTAAAATCCAGCATTTATAAGTGGAAAAAAAGGGCACCCCATTTTATGGTGATGTCCACTTTACGGCAATAGCCTGGAACCTAACCTGCCATGTAAGTGGGGCCCTACTGTATAGTACACACATCACTTATCTTAAAATATTTTCATCCCTAGCTTATAGTGAGTGGCAAATATATTTAATGTAGAAAGTCTGAATAAATGAAGAATGGGTATAACTGAAAACTGCTGCATTAGCAAAATGCTGTAAAGCAGGGCCCACCTGTTTAGAGGTCTGGTGGTATACTGCAACTTCATATTCTCAATGAGAGCCCCTTTGCTGCAGCAAGAGCCCCCCCCCCCCTTGAAGGGGCGAGATCCTATAGAGAATATTCTTTCCTTGCCTTGTATAGATGTAATGATCAAGCACTGCAGTGAACAATAAGTGACAAACCCAGAATATAAGTTGCAATAAGTGACACCCAGAATATAAGATGGAGATGAACCTTTGATGAGCTGATAGTTTATTGAAGGCTGGAGGCTGAAACTCAAATTGTGTAAAATCCAGAGGTGTTATCAAATTAAAAAAGGTGTAGAAAGACCAAAGGAGTTTAACTTTATTAGTTTCTGTAGTGCTACATTTCAACTTACCTTATGGTCCCGCAGACTGAACGTCAGAACATCAGGCTCAGCTGTAATTAATTTTCGAGGCTCTTTGAGGGGAAAGTCCCCAAGTGCTCGTGAGGTAGCGAGAATTCCTGCAACTCGCCAAACCCCTGTGAACGTGATAAAACCACCAGCTTCCTTAATCCTCCGACGCTCTTTTAGCTGTAAGAAATGCAAAGATTGATTAACAGCAAAAGCACATAATATTTATATCCATTTTGTAAGCAAGTGTTTAATGCTTTTAGTAACTTTATAGACTCAAATCACTTGTTTACTTAATTAAACAATAAATCGGTTTTTATTACCCAAGATTTTCCCCCAGACATTCTTTTCACACAGCTTTATCTACAGTACACAATACAAAAAAAGAATATTTTTTTTATTACTTGTGCATCAATCAACACACAGCATAGAGACCATAATGGAAGTACAGGTACATGTATATATAATGGCATTGTTGGGATATTCTAGACTAATTCATCATCAAATGATACCTTTGTACAGTGGACCCTCGGCTAGCACCTGCATTGGCTAATGCCAAATTTGGCTAACACCTCGATTTGGCGTAAAAAAATTGGCTTGGCTAACGCCAAAAAACTTGGTTAAGAGCTTTCGTCCCAAACGTGTCGGCACGGTGCCTTGAGCGGGCCCAGCCACTCACTTTGTGTACCAGCCAGTGTGCCATTATTTACAAAGCCAGTGATGATTATTCCGCGCATACATGCGATATATTTTGTATTATTCCATTGTTTTTGGTGCTTTTAACTGCTAAATAAGCCACCATGGGCCCCAAGAAAGCTTCTAGTGCCAGCCCTATGGTAAAGAATGTGAGAAACGCATATAATTTGAGAAAAAGTTTGTAGAAAAATACGAAAGTGGTGGTGGTAGAGGGTGGTAGTGGTTGTGGTGGTAGAGGGTGGTAGTGATGGTGGTAGAGGGTTGTAGTGGTGGTGGTAGAGGGTGGTAGCGATTGTGATGGTGGTAGAGGGTGGTAGTGTGTGGCAGTGATGGTGGTAGTGTGTGGCAGCAATGGTGGTAGAGGGTGGTAGTGGTGGTGGTGGAAGAGGGCAGTAGTGGTTGTGATGGTGGTATGGTATGATAGGCATGGTGAGGCTGCCAGCTGACAGAAAAGCGGCTGAAAAATATGTGCAGGACTTTAACCCTTTGAGGGTTTCGGCTGTACTAGTACGGCTAACGACCCAGGGTTTTTGACATACTAGTACGCCTAAATTCTAGCGCCCTCAAATCTAGTGGGAGAAAGCTGGTAGGCCTACATATGAAAGAATGGGTCTATGTGGTCAGTGTGCACAGTATAAAAAAAATCCTGCAGCACACAGTGCATAATGAGAAAAAAAAAAGACCGTTTTTTTTGGAATAAAACAGCGACTTTGCACTGTATTTTCGTATGGTATTTATAGTTGTATTCTAGTTTTCTTGGTCTCATTTTATAGAATGGAAGACATATTACAGAAATTGAGATGATTTTGACTGGTTTTACAATGAAAAGTACCTTGAAATTGAGCTCAAAGTAGCAGAAATGTTCGATTTTTACCAAAGTTCAAAAGTAAACAAATCATGCCAAGCGTCCAATACACGTCAACTGGCGAGTCTAATATTCTTTCACAAGTGCGCCAATATTATTTATACCATTCTTTTACACTAATGCAGTAGTCTGCATAACAGTAAATCTTCTATTTTTTGTGAGAATAAAAATTCAAAGTGGAAAGCAAAAGAATGTAAGAGGGGCCTTGAGACGTGACTAATGAACAGAGGAAATGTCATTTTAGTGCCAGGAATGTCTTTCTTGTTTATTCTGGACCCTATTCAGAAATTGGCATTTTTTGAAATTTGTGTGAAATTGGCAAAATTGCTAAATTCTGACCACTGTACTGGATAGTTGAAATTGATAAATGGGTGGTTTCTTGCACTCATTCGATAGAAAAAATGGAGTTCTAGCGAAATATTCATGTTTTTTGTCGAATAGTACAGTGGAATTGGCCGAAAATGGGGCTCAAAGTGGACAAGATCGCCGATGCATAAACATCGCCGAGACCGCTAACTTCGCGAGAGCCTTAAGTTTTCCATCAAATTTCAAACTTTTGGTGTCATTATGATTGGGAAAAGATTCTCTATCTTTTCATAAGAGAAATTATTATTTTTTTTTTTTTAATTTGGCCAACCCTGAGAACAAGTCTCGGAGAGGGCCTGTCGACCCTCAAAGGGTTAAGTGGTACATAGAGGCTGAAAAATTAAAACCCCAACGAGTGTTCAATTGTGACGAGACAGGCCTGTTTAGGAAGAAAATGACAAACAGGACCTACATTACTCAGGAGGAAAAGGCACTCCCAAGACAAAAGCCAGAAAAGGACTCGTTACTGAAGTCTTTATGGAAGGGGATTCCCCTTCCAAACAATAGAACACCTTCATCCTCTGCCCTCCTCAAGTCTCATCACTCATCAACAAGTCCACAATAAAGGTAAGTGTGATGTTATTATTGTTTTATTCTTCATGTATCATTGTTTTCTGTGTAGGGAAATGTATATTTCATGTAAAAAATTATTTTGTTTAATACTTTTGGGTGTCTGGAACGGATTAACTGGATTTCCATTGTTATGGGGAAAATTAACCCTTAAATGGTCCAAACGTATATATACGTTCTTACGCGTAGTGCCCCAAATGTATATGTACGTTTTATTTTTTCTGCCTTCAAATTTGGCACGATTGGCCTGAGATGCCTTGTCAGCATAGAATGGGTTCTAACACTCAGTGTGTGTGGTATTAAAAAAATCTGGGACCACTTAATACCTTGTGGGAGCACCAGCTAGAGAAAACAGTGCGGCAAACACCAAGGATTCACTGATGTAATGTCATATTAACCCTTTGAGGGTCGACAGGCCCTCTCCGAAACTCGTTCTCAGGGTCGGCCAAATTTCAAAAAAAAAAAAAATTATTTTTTCTTATGAAAAAATAGAGTATTTTTTTCTAAACATTATAGGCTAAACAAAAAAATTTTAACGTCAATACTTACCGAGATATGGAGGTGTGAAATTTGCCAAAATTGAACAACATATGGTAACATCGCCGACTGCCGTCACCCGGTATTTTTCTATTTACTTTTTTATGTACTATTTTCAATTTTTTTTCAATTTTTCTTTTTCTGAGTAACTTTTATGGCCTCTGAGGCCAACATGATCAGTTTTTGTAAGTTATTTCTTTTTAAATACTACACAATAAGGGCGAAAAACACTGTTGTCATTATTTTGTTTACAGAAAATATTTACAAAAAAACAAACAATTATGAAATGTTGTTTATTACTATTTTTCTATATTTTATATACACATTACAGTCACAGGACTTTTTTTCTAGAAGTTCTGGCAGCCTGTGGAACTCTTTGAAACATGGTGTCATGCACAGTGGAGTTTTGCACTCCTCACAAAATAAAAGAGTGTCTCTGCGTTGTCGTGGGCGTTTTTTTGTATGTGAACAGACGTAACACCTCTTTTGAGCCTTTTTTTCAAAGCAGTAGCAAAGGCAGTTTTACCAGGAAGTGATCACCATGCTTCAGACGAGCAGGTAGTTGTTGATAATTTGGTGGGCGGTCAAATTTCAGGTGCATTTCCTTGGTACTTGAATACTATTTGTCTGATGACAGACAAAAAGAATTCGCCGTACTGTGGTTTGTTTCTGGTGCTCATCTTATACATATTTAAGCATTGAGCATGGAAATGTCCAGAAGATGGAAAAAAACAAATTTGATGTACCATTATAACTCTTGCGACACAATCAGCAAACCCCAAACTGCATATCACATTTGTCCACTGAACGCATGTTTAAGGTGTAATCAATCACAGCTGCAGGTTTTAGAATGGGTTCATTTCTCTCTCTATGCTGCCTGCCACTGTCTGCCATTTATTAGGGTGAAAATTTATGACAACAGTGTGACATCTCGTTTGTCATGCCACCGAAATGCCAGATGTCATTGGCAGCAAACGCCCGCACCTCACCTCTGCGAGTGCCAGCATCAAACCTGGGCATATGTTTTCCCATTTGCACGCACTGTGCCACACACATCTGTCATGTTCACTCGCAAAAAAATCACTGAGTGAGGGGCTTGTGTACCAGTTATCTGTATATAATATATGCCCTTACCAAGGTATGGTTCTATCATTGTTCGAACCACATCACCTGAGATGCCCAATAACTTCCCTGGTATTTTGCAATGTATAACTTCCAGTGTACACAATAATACCCAAATACCAGACCACTGTAACAATCACAAAGCACAAACAACTTTATACCAAAGCGTTTCCTCTTGCTTGGTATGTACTGCTTGAAAGAGAGTCTTCCTTTGAACAGAATCAAAGATCGTCAATTACAAGCTTCCTGAAGGGATAAAAATGAGTACTGAATTCTGTTTCAGATACACAAACACATTCCTAATCTTATATAACCTGTCAGTTCTGTCAGGCCTGGTTTTATCTGATAAGTGAAGCATACGTAACATTAGCACAAATCGATTCACTGGCATTATATCACTGAAACCTGGTGGTTGCAATCTGGGGTCTGTTGACCAGTATGATTTCACTTTGTGTTTATACACATGTGGCATAAGCATTATTGTGGCAAAGAAAAGATACATCTCAGCCACATTTTGCCTCCTTCCTTTGGTGTAGACGTGATTTTGTGAAAGTATTGTGTTTGCCATGGTGTACTCGTAGTATGTGTTGCTTTCCATGACAATACTTTTCATCAGTGGTTCGTCAAAGAATAACTCGAAACATTCCAGTTCAGTGGCTTTGTTCCCAAGTGCACAAGATGGCCGTATTCCACTTTGGCTGCCATCAAACTGGTGGGGGTTTGGAACAAAATTGAACTGCTTCCTGCCAATCCCAGGTGCGGTCTGCTGGTGGGTACTGGACAATGACAGGTGGTTGTGGTTGTGGGGGTTGTGGTTGTGGAGGCTGGTGTGGGTGGGGAGTGGGGGATGGTGGCCTTTGTTCTAGATCAGCTGAGGCAGCGGCGTGGCTGGCAGCGTGGGTGGCAGCATGGCCCCCGCTGGTGCCTCACCGCCGGCACCACTACCACCACGCACATTTTCCATCCCAATTTTCAACAGTATCTTCGTCATTTTTTACTGTTGTTCCTGTTGTACAGCCACGGG